GAAAATAAGGGAAAAATTAAGTATTGGAATGAGGAAAGTCGCCCAACTGAGAGCTTCTTCCACCTGTTATCTACGTTTTTTGCAACACCCGAATGGCACCACCGTTGGCAAATAGAATTGAATGCCCTCACACAGAAACCAGGAGAAAAAGTCGACTCTTACGCTGCGAAATTCAAAAGACTCTTGCGTAGAGTTGAATCCAGTGGAAAACTCCCCTCTGCATATGTTATATGCATGTTTCTTGATGGTTTGAGTGGCAAAATGGCAACCTTCATTACTATGGTGGCCCCAAAAACGTTGGATGATGCTATCGCGTATGCGCGAAAGGTGGAAGCAGGTGACTATTATGGACAACAAGCAGCAGTGCACCAAGCACCTGTAAAAATTGAGAACGATATGGAAAACTTGGTAAAAAGAATGAATGAGCTAACAATAAATTATGCCAATATGGCAAACTCGATCGCATAATCAACAAAATGGAGTCAAAGAAAGTATGACCAAACTAATCAAGGAAATTACCGACCAAGAAACCCCGATATTGTGTGTTATAAATGTGACCAAAAAGGTTACATTGCTCGATTTTGTACCAAGAATCTTGCTGTGCAAAAGGATATACGTCCCAACCAAGTTATGTCAAAAAGGGTAAACTATTGTAACATGGGGGAAGATAACGACAACATAGTATGGAAAGAAGAATTGTACAACATTGGAGACACCCACCAGCAATATGAAGTAAAAAGAAGAGGTCGACCACCTAAAAACCCTGAAAATAGTTGGGAGACTTAAGGAAAAAAGCGAAAAGTATCACACTCCCCCCCACCCATGGTAGTTATTGCAAGACCCTTGTCCCAAAACAATAAAATAATGAATGAAGTGGCCCCTGCCCCCCTTAACGGTCCTACCAACCCCCGTCGTAAATGAGGACCATCCATCGTTGATAAAATTGAACCATATAACATTGCCAACGACCTCTTAGTAGCAAAGTCTAATGCAATGTTTGGACAACTTCTACAATACCCCAACCAAAAAAGGAACCTAGCAAAAGCCCTCAGAAGACCACCCCATACTAAGGAAGCAAACCTTGTAGACCCCCAACCTCAACAACGAACAACCGCAGCAAAGTGTCACGTGTATGTCACCGACGAGCCCGTAGTAGCTGTATTAGACACTGGTGCAGCCATAAGTATCATAACAAAACGATTGGCAGACCGACTTGGGATTAGTATAGAGGAGGAGTCAAAAACAGTGGTAGTAACAGCAACAGGTGCCAGAGAACGTACGTTGGGAAGTACAGCTAAAGTGAATATCAATGTAAATGGCGTCAACATACCCACCTACCTACAAGTATTAGAGTCTGTTGATGAAAATTTGCTACTAGGAACCGACTGGTTCCAAAAAGCTCGAGCGATGGTGAATTTCGATGAACAAAAACTAGTAATTAGGTATTTAGGTAGGAGGTTTGAAGTACCCATAATGCATACAGACAAGGGAAAACAGAAGGAGTATGTGAACAAGGACATGAGGTCAGGTGACCACGATAGTGACGAAAACGATGATGATGATCTATTTGAGAAATTTGAGTATGAAAGTGAGGATTTAGAAGAAGTTGAAAGTTACTCTACAGATAGTATTCCGGTTGGTAAAGTGTCGGAAAGTGAGTCGGAAGGAAGAATTGATGACGAAAACGTTGAAGAAAGCCTGGCAGTCTGTCTAGCTGTAATGGAAGAAGTCCCAACTGAAAAGAAGGTTCCTGTTGATGAAAAACTGCCTGCGGAAGACCAATTGGTTAGAATAGTGGATGGTGTGAATATAGAAGCACAGTATAAAGTAAATGTAGAACAATTGTTTAAAGCAAATGAGAACTTATTCGCAAATGGGTTAGAAGAACTTGGACAAACCAACCTCGTAAAGCACGTGATCAAGACTGGTGACATCGAACCAATTAAACAAGCACCTTATCGTTTGGCCCCCAGCGAACAGGAATTTGTGCATGAGGAGTTGAATAAACTAAAGGAGAAGGGATTGATTAGAGAATCATTTAGCCCTTGGGCATCCCCCATAGTATTAGTCCCCAAAAAAAATAACAAATTAAGGATGTGTGTTGACTATCGACGGTTAAACAAGGCAACAAAAAAATATGCATATCCTATCTCTCACATCAATGACCTCCTAGAAGCGTTCGGCAGTGCTCAATGGTTTAGTAGTCTCGACCTTGCTAGTGGCTACTGGCAGGTCCAAATGAGTGATGAAGACTGCGAAAAAACGGCATTCGTGACCAAATTTGGAACGTTTGAGTTTACAGTTATGCCATTTGGTCTTTGTAACACCCCTGTGACGTTTCAAAGACTGATGGACAAAATTCTATATGAATTTACTGGTAAATTCGTTACAGTATACTTCGATGACATTAATATCTATTCTCATACCTTATCCGAACATATTAACCACTTGAGCCAAGTATTTAAAAAAATTAGGGATGCAGGTCTTAAGTTAAATTTAGAAAAATGCCAGTTTTTTCTTCAAAACTTGCATTTTTTGGGTCACATTATCGGTAAGGATGGTATACGGCCGGATGGGGCAAAGACAGAAAAAGTCAAAAATTTCCCAGTACCCAAAAACATACGGCAATTACGGGGTTTTCTAGGGTTATTATTCTACTACCGTAAATTTATTAAAAACTTTGCAACAATCGCGAAACCATTACACTACCTATTACAAAAAAACACCACCTATAACTGGACTACCTAACAACAACTAGCATTCGACACCCTTAAACAACATCTAATTTCCGCCTCTATACTACGTTACCCTGACTTCGACAGAAGGTTCTTTTTACATACTGACGCATCTGGAGTAGGGTTAGGTGCCGTCTTGGCCCAAGTTGGGGATGATCTTAAAGAATACGTAGTCGCTTATGCATCCCGAAGTCTTTCTAAACCTGAAAGGAACTACTCCACAACCGAACTAGAATGCCTGGCTGTAATCTGGGTGATCGAATATTTTCACCATTACCTTGGCTATAAGCCATTTACGGTTGTAACTGATCACTCAGCCCTGAAGTGGTTGGAATCATCGAAATTGAAAGAAAGGCATGCTCGTTGGATCCTACGTTTACAACCATATAATTATACTATCGAACACCGACCAGGACGAAAGCATTCGAATGCTGATGCTCTCTCACGTATCTAAGTACAAATTAAAAAGTTAAAAATTAGTAAAAAAAAAAAAAAAAAAAAAAAAAAATCTTCAATACTCAAATCCGGACCCAATCCAGACCAGGTAACCGGTGTCCTGGCACTACAATAAAATCCAAAGATAAGTTAGTCAAATCTCAAAAAAAAATATACAAACAACCACACCAAATAATTATACTTAGCTCAAAGTTGAATCAGTCTAGTCCACAACATGGATTCTACCCATTATCAACATCTAAAATATTTCATAACCCACCAACACCTACCACCCGGACTGGATAAACAAGAACAAGCAAGAATAAAGTCCAAATCAAGGTTCTTTAAAGTGAAAGAGAATGCATTATATAAGAGAGATAGGCGTGAAAAGGGTAATTGGCTGAAGGTAGTACAAACATTTGAGATAGAACCCATCCTATTTCTTGCATACAACCATTCAACTGGAGGTCACATGGGGCAAGCAGCTATGTTCAATAAAATAAGAAGGTACTATTTTTGGCCCCAGATGTTTGAAAACATCTGTGAATATGTTCGTACATGTGACTCATGCCAACGAAGGGGGAAAAACAAGCTTCAAGAACCCCTCCACCCGATTCCAGTGGACTCACCATTTTACCGTGTTGGGATTGACATCGTGGGACCCCTACCCATCACCCCTAGAAACAAGAGATATATAGTCGTTGCCACTGACTATATGTCAAAATGGCCCGAAACAAGAGCAATTAAGAAGGATAATGCCATTGCAGTTGCCGAATTTGTTTATGAAGAAATTATATGCAGGCACGGTTGCCCTATGTACCTGTTATCTGATCGAGGCACACATTTTAGGAACGAATTAATTGAAGCATTATTAAAAAAGTTCCAAATTAAACATCAACTGTCGACCCTCTACCATCTACAAAGTAACGGTCTTGTTGAATGGTACAATAAAACATTATGCGAGTCAATAGCAAAGACAATTCAAAACGTCACCGACTGGGACCAGTTTATTCAACTAATACTTTTTGCATATCGTACAACAAAACAAAGTTCCACAAAAATGACGCCATTTTATTTAGTTTACAGAAGGGAGGCTCGATTGCCCCTACACCCTGGTAATACCCCTGATATCTTAAATGGAACAATCATCCAAAGAACTTTTAATTTACTGAACCAGGTACCAACCCAGCAAAACAAAGCAGTGAAACAAGTGCGATCTGCACAACTGAAACAGAAGGCATACTACGATCGACACATCAAGATTACACCAGAGTTCCACATTGGCACCAAAGTATTGTTATTTGACACTGCCCATTTAATGTCTAGAAGCCATAAGCTAAACCAAAAATGAAAAGGCCCATTTTTTGTGCACAAGGTTTTAGCCAACGGTTCCTATAAAATAAGAACTCTGGATGGACAAGTTGTAAAATCTCCTATCAATAAAGCACAACTAAAAGAGTACCACGAAGCTCGAAACCATCTGAGGTAGCAATCGAAGGGGATGTAGGTGTTTAAGGAGAGGAAGGAGAAAAAGTAAAGGCCCACTAAAGAAGCTCAAACCAAATAAATAAATTTTTAATCAAAAAAAAAAAGTAAAGAAAGTTAGTACCGATAGAAACAACGAAACAACAAAAGAAGCAAAACAAAGGATACTTCCCCAATCTGTGGCTAAACTATTAAAAAAAAAAAATAAAAAAAACTAGTAAATATATAAAATAACTGAACCTGGGGAGCGAAAGGAAGAAACCATCAGGCAGCAAATGACAAAAGCAAGCGACAAACAAATTAACCAATCAAAAAAAAAAAAAAAAAAATCCCAACCTGAAACAAATGGACCCTCTCAATGGAATAATCAGCGACCTACTGTCAACCACCCTGCAAGATGTAGTTGTTACGCCCCCACCATACCACCCCGCCGAAAACCTAGATGACAAAGTAATGAAGACATATCAGCAAATGCTTAAGAACGTTAAACTCAAAAACCACACTGAAAGTTTAATCCACGCTTTTTACCTGGGTGAAATGCTGACCAAGACGGATCCTAAGCAGCAGACCTTTTACCGAAAGGTGATCACAAAACACTACTTCATGGCCACAACAAGAGCATTTTGGCTGTTCGAGGCCTATGGACCCGCCCAAATCTATCGTACAAAGAGTATTAACGTAACCATAATGGCAAGAATGAAGGCCGAAGATTTCCGAAGCTTGGTATAAATTCGTGGAACGAATGTATTAAAGTGGAAAGAAATGTCACGATCAAAAAAAGGATCGTCGATATTTCATTTAAATTAGATCGCATAAGCAAATATTAATATACAGTAATTATTAGATATAGCACATATATAGAGTGTAATTAGCAGATGCAGCGTAATTAGCGTAATTAGTAGATTTAGTGCAATTAGTGTAATCAATAGATATAGCGAATATAGCGTATTTAGTGTAATTAGTGTAATTAGCATAAATAGCATAATTAGTGTAATTAGCGTATAGAGAAAAGTATATAAGTAATATGTTGGTAATGTAAGAAAAACAAGTCTTGGAGGTCTCACAGTATAGTCAATAAAGAGATACTTACCCTTAGTACTCGCCCAAATCCCACGCCTCTTTTGAGTATTAATTTATTCGACGTTATGCGAAAGACGTTCATCTACCTTATGAATAGGGAGTTTTAGAAGAGACAATTTCCATAGTACAACAGTAGCTTCTTGTTTACAGATGCTTAAACCTTGAACAAAGGTTACTTAGCACTCAGCTGATCAAATTTGATCAAAATTTTTTTATTTTAATTCTATGTAACTATAGAATTAAAATAAAAAATTTTAATCGAATTTGATCAGGTGAGTGCTGAGTAACCTTCATTCAAAGTTTAAATGCTTGTAAAAAAGAAGCTGTGACTAATTTTTTTTTAACTTTTGATCAATATTTCTTAACAACTACATATTCAAATTTGATAAAGTTTTTTTTATTCAATTCTACAATCTTGTAAAATTAAAATAAAAAAAATTTCATTAGATGATTATTGAGAAATTATTAAAAATAAAAATTTTCATCTGATTTTACTTGTGTAAAAAGAAATCTATTTATAAATAAGAAATAATCACTAATAGTTAAATGAATTCTACAGAATATGATAAATAAAGAATAGTTATCATAATATATTCATGGAATTCATAGGATTCGAAAAAAATGATCTGCAAAATTATATAAATGCTTGTTTTTAATTTTTAAAATTAGATTTATATCTGAATAAAAAAAAAATAAAAATATATATTATAAAACTGTAATCGAATTTAAAACAGCTTTTTTTAGTTTGTTTAATTAATATATTATTTACCTAAAATTCTATGAACCCACTTACCAGAATGCATTTTTATAGGTTCATGTGGCTAGCGCAGCAATATTGCATAGATTCTGCAAATTAGATGAATATGACAGTGAAAGTTTAGTTGATATAATAGAAAAAAATAATTAATAAGTAATGTTTAATCTACATTCAAGATAGACTAAATCAATATTATAGAAATAATTATATAGAATAAACTATAACAAAACAATATATTTAAGAGCAGCTTTTTGCCCAAGTTGCAAAATAAACTTTCAAGCTTTCACCTATTTCATTAATAATAAAGATATCTATTAGCATCAAAATCTTTTAAATAAATAAATAATAATAAAATTTTACTTTTATCTCTATTACAATTATCTTCATAAATATTTCTTTTCACAACCATGATCATAATTCATCAATGCAATAGCCTTAAATTATTATCAAAGACCTGATCTATCCTTATATCCTATAAAATATACTAACTTATTTGTTAAATTCATATTAAATACATTTTTCGATATCTGTCTATTAATATAAGAAATATTATTCTTTTTTTGAACTTAGTAAAGGCTTCTAATAATGTTGTTGCTATCAGGAATTGACACAATTTTTGATATTGAAGAAGAAGAAAATATGAATATTAGTGATAACAGTGATAATGGGCTTAATGATATGCTTAACCAAATCCTAGATGCAACAGATAGTGTTGGTCAAGTAAGTGAAAGACAAGATAATGATATAATACAGCAAGAATCATCAGAAACAGAAAGGTTCAAAACGTATTATCTTTCAGTTAAAGAATATACAGAATGGATTAGAAATCTAGAAAGAGCTAGGCTTAGTTATAATAAACATGACTATAAGTGGCATACTGGTGGCTCAAGAAAAAAAACCAATGGTCAGAAAGGTAGTACTGTTATTGCTATAGGATATATAAAAGCATTGCTAAGAAAAATACTACAAAAAAGCCACGATTAGTACAAAAAGAAACAAAAAAATATAGATATAAAAGCTATATCTATGTTATGCTTTCTGTTGAGTTAACAACAATAACTCTATATCACTATTATAAATATATAAATAATTATCCTAGTCAACTGTCAGATTTATGCATCCTTTCCTTTCAGAAAATATTCAACAATTTATCTGCCAGCATGCTCTTAAAGGATTTGATGCTTTTAATATTTAACAGCTCTTATGTTTTCAAGCAATTAAGCTTAAAGATCAAATTCAGTCACTAGAAACAAATAATTTCTCTCTAAATATTCAAAGGCTGCAAGATGGGTTAATAACAAAAAAGGATATTTATATGATTATGCATGATGTAATGAAAAATTGCATTTACCTTGATATGGATGAAATAAAATTTTTGGATAAATAGAAAGATAAGATAATTGGTGCTAATGAATATTGTTTAAATAAATATAGTGGTGAACAAAATTCAAAAGCAGTTAATACAGGATTCTTATTCACCTTTTAGACAAAAAAACAAAAGGAAATTATGCAACAGGCTAGGGTTATATGCTTGAACGGTACTCACAGAATGAATAAATATATATATATATTTTTTTTAACCTTAGGCAGTTACACTAGTACTTTATTAAGATTCTAGAAACTATAAAATTACATAGAAATTCTTAATATCTAAGTCCAGCATCACCCGGCCACCTTTATAGTACCTAAGTGCAACCTGCCGCACTATCTTTGTTAAAGATAGACTGCTCGTTGAGCTACTTAAAGCTATACCAGAAAGGTCTTCTCCTTTCCGTGACAAGCATGTTCAATGTCTTCAAAGCTTCTTTCT